GGGGGGGGGGGGGGGGGGGGGACTTGAATTTACTTACCATGATCACCATTTTTGTAACTCGTTTTCGAGACTTGACAATTGCAGCTTGTGTGGCTCGAGGACCTTGTTGGGACTTGAACCAAAGACGGCGAATAACTCTTATGTAAAGGGCAGACATCAGAATAATGGGTAGCGCGCCAAAGAGTACAAGCCAGGCCGTACTGTAAGCCCTGGCCATCCAAGTTGTTGGCCAGAACTCGGTGCAGAAATCTATGTTTTTGTTGTAGTCAATAAATATGAAGAGTGGCAGGTTAAATACAACAGCCAATAGCCAGCAGCCCGCGATCACATATTTGACTTTCTTCATGGTGAGTTTTCCTCGGGTACCATATGGATGAATAACAGCAAAGTAGCGCTCGACTGAGATGGCCACCAGTGAAAAAACAGAGGCGGAACCACCCAGCCAGCTAAAGTTACCGCCCGTGAACAACTTACAGACGAACGAACCGAGAAGTCCATCCGGATGATTGAACGCGTGGGCCAGAATGAAGCGAGGGGCAGTAAATAGCACAACCATAATATCTGCCATCGCCAGATTTAGAATCAGATAATTCATGGGTGTCCTCATAGCTCTGTTGGTAATGATAACCAGGCAGGACAAAGTGTTTCCGGCCACACCAACTAGCACCAGGAAGCAAAAAAATGTGGTTAAGGTGATCTGCGCAGCTAAGGATGTTGTATAGATCGTCATGATGTTTCTTTTACAAGTTGAACTCTCTTGACCTGAAAATGCATCCTTATGTTAACAAAGCTGTAATTTTTAAATTAATTCCAACTATAATATGAGCATTCAGTAAACCTTCAACATAAACTCTTGAACCTTCACTCGCCGGGTGTCCTCTGGGAAAACGTGGCCGATGCTTTAAAGCATTGTAGGTGCAAAGCTTAAGCATTGCTTGTTCAGTTTGTAGGTTAATAAACTTTTTTCGTTTTGTTCTTTATTCTAGATGCAGAATTTGAATTGCTACTGAACTGATTTACACTGTAGACCCACGTTTTGATATTGTTATGTTTTGACTCTGAAATGTGTGAATTATAGTAATCACTCTATCACAAAAGATAACAACGAGAACATCATCATTATTATTATTATTTTATTTTTTATTATTGTTGTTGTTGTTGTTGTAGTTTTAATGACGGACTTTGACAGCCTTGGTGTGATTTGATGAAGTATTAAGTCGGAAAGAAATCTGCGATATTGAAAAAAAACCTGACTTTTCAGAAAAGTGACTTAACTAAATCTTCAGTATGTCTTTGAATTTAACTGACGTTATCGGTCATTGAGCTGGAAGTAAAAAAGAAAGGTTATTAAAGAAAAATGCTGGCAAATGATGTGGAAAAACAAAGTGAAAACAGAAGCACTTAATTATTTCATTCAAAATCAAGCATAATTATGAACATTTCCATCTGTTAAGTTTTAAGAAAATTAGATATGTATATCACTGGAACAATTTAGCATTAAGCAAACTTTTTTCTATTCCGGAAAATAAGATTTTTGCTGCTACATCCTCTTGATGCCTTTGTGGTAATTCCAATTAGTGTTGCTTTTACCAAAGTAGTAATGAGTACATTAACAGGAAAGACAAGTAAGTTCAATATCCTCCTTATTACCTTCTAAATACACTTTTTCCATTGTACCTTATAATAAAAAAAAGATATTAGGGAAAATATGATAGATGCAAGAAACTGAAATTCGTTGATACAAAATTATATCATTTGAGAGCAAACCTGTTTTGGGCCGGTCCATAGCTTACTGTAAGGTTCCACTTTAAGCTTTCTACTAGGTTATATATTCTTGTCACCGTACGTGTTCATTCTTTTGGAACAAAAGTTCATGATCAAACTAAGCCTGAAAGCTCTTAAATAGACTATTTTTGGTATTTTGAACCCATGCATGTTGATGGTACGTGAAAATTTGAGTGTAATAAACAGAGCACAAAGTTATTGAGCTTGTTCCTATATGTATTTGTTCTTAGTGTAACATAATGGACAATGCCTGTTAAGTTTTCTTCCGGCAGTTTTCAAAAGATAGAAACTTTCATAAAGCTGAGGGTACGAATGTACAATTCAAGTGAAAAATATACAAAATAAAGAACTTTAGTGAAGCATTAAAAGATTTTTCTGACCTAATTCAGTGAGAATTATAAGGCACAGAATAGAGCTTTACTTTGCACAATCTCTTGATGATCTCAAAAAATTTTTCCTTTTGGGGACTCAAAAACTTCGGCAAATCTCAGTTTCCGAGACTAAGAAACAATTCCACTAGCGCTGCTAGCATATCTATTAAAGTCATTTCAAATGTTTAAAAGGGTTTATTGACTTAAAATTCCACAGTGTCAAGAAAAGATAATCCGTTTTCGACACGCAATTGTGATATTTCCCCAAGACTATCATGAGGATAAAACTGAGAATTAAATTCGCACTTGAGTTTTCTCTTTACTGTAAATCTGCAGCTTTTTATCGGATCTCTTAGAATCGGCAAGGAAAAATAACGATTTGAAGATGGCCATACAGTAATGTTAATTTCACGACGTTAAAGTACCTTACATGATGTCGGCGGCAAAAAAATCAGTGCGTCAGTGAGTTATAAAAATATACGTAAAAGTGGATTTGGTGTTGGCTTTGGGAGGTCTAAAACGCAGCCATTTTAAACCAAAATTGTTAATAGTAGATTGGGATAGATAAGCAAGGGCTTACAACCGCTGACTAAAGGCTCTGATTATACTTGGAATGAGACAACAGCGAGGTACCATCAGACAGACATGCCCTGGTTGATGTAAATAATTCTTCACATCATATTCAGCTCCACACAATACTTGTTTAATATTAGTCACTGTGTCTTAAGGGTTATACTGTTGCTATATTAACCTGTTATATAAAATAAAAAGAAATATGTTAAGCAAGGCTGACTGTACATTTGGGAGGCTGCTTTATGGTATTAAACCCGTAAGTAAGATACTTACTGAAGCTTCAAGAGCCCATTAATCAACTGTCTTGCCGAAAAATGGAAACAGGTTCTTTTTTTTTAATCTCAGATGCTTTAAAATGTGTGCACTTAAGTAAATAAGATAAGTCAACATTTAGATGATCCTCTCTCGAGACACAGGTACCTTATCAATCTGATTGCAAAGTGAATGCAAGGGATGAAACCCAAATGATTAAATTGTTATGGATATATTACATAAATATATCAATTGAGCTAAGCCAGTTTATTTGTATTGATATAGTGCTCGTTCAATTGTTTATATCTCCTTACATCAGCAGATGTAAGAGTGCTTCTTCTCTTTTCTTTTTATAGTCAATTTTATTTAAATACTTATTTGGGACTTATTTGGTATGCAGATTTTATGTAAGGAAAAGGCTGAATACACTGTCAAGTGAATAATTAGCTAAATAGCCAAAGACTGCATTAAATGGTAATTAACAGAAAACATAATATAGCATGGTAAATAACAATTTTTTCTTTTGATATTCTTACTATTAAACCGTAAGGCACCAAAGCCAGTGCAAGCGAGTGCTAAGGATTTCCTCAGTGTGCTGAGTTGCAATCTGTGATTTGCAAAAACAGGGACCAAACACTGGAGAGAGAAGAAATTGCAACTGATTGCCGGGGTGGGTATAAGACAAAAGTTGGAAGGGTTGGGAGGAGGAGAAGGGAATTTTCTCGCCTGACTCCTAGGCCCCAGTCCTGCCTGGCCCTGTTCTCACTTTCACTCTCCTCATATTTCACAACCCGAGCGAAATCTAGTACTTTGGCGCAGGCTATAAACACCCTGAACAAACTCAGTCCGCTCAGTCAGTAGGCTTCCCCTTCCTGTTCACTGAATTTTCATGCCAGTTTATATAGACCCTTTTTTATACTTTACATGTGCTCTTTACGGCAAGTAGAAAAGACCACCGAAGAGTAAACCTAAAAGCGGAACTCCCCGTACGAACCCTAGAAATGTATTAGCTACTCTTTGATTTCAAAAGCATGACGTGGCTGCTGTGAATTGCTGCTTTCTGAACCGCCTTTACGTCGTTGTCGCTCTAGTTGTATTCGGTTTTGTTTCAGACATGGCAGTTGAAGCAGATTCTTCAGGTGATTTCTGAAGCGCTCATTAACAAATGCGTAAACGAAAGGATTAACGCAGGAGTTGAAAGTGACGATCAGGATCCCAATGATGTAGGTGATGTTGCCGTACTCTTGTGCCTCATGGTAGTAGTTGAGCATGTAGATTATCAGGACTGGAAACCACGTGATTGCATACACAACGCTCACCTAAAAGCAAAAAATTTTGCCAT